ATTAGCCCTGAGCTAACATCTGTGCCCATCTTCCACTACTTTATATGTGGGAAGCCTGCCACAGCATGGCTTGACAAGTGGTGAGTAGGTTCACACCCAGGATCCAAACCGGCAAACCCTGGGCCGCCGAAGCAGAACATGTGAACTTGACCGCTGTGCCACGGGGTCGGCTCCCTGCAGTTCCATTTTAATTACTCCATGGCAAAGGATATAAAGGAATGAGGTGAATGCTTGCCCTGGCGGGTGGACAGTTTTCTTACCAGTGACCTGGGGAAGTGACCTGGCATGCTCTTCAGAAAGATGTGAGCTGTAAGTCCATCACCTGTGAGCATCTGGCAGGGGTTATTGTGCATGCAAATTTTATGCATGAAATTCAAACATGGAAGGAGATGCCCCCCAACTTTTACGACCAGAGGATAAGTTATGTGCTGAGTTATGCATCTGACTAATGTATTGGACACCCGTGCACGTCTGTCCCGGTTTTCTGGGTTGGCTGTGTCTTCAGTTCTGAGCAGGAAGATTGATGTCTCTCCAGGTCCTTTTCCACATCCCTCCCTTCTTCTTTTTTCATTCAACAAATATTAATAGTGTGGCACTATGCCACACATGTAAAGCAGCCCTCATTTCTGCCTCCATCAGGCAACGTGGTGTGGAGACTAAACTAGCAGACCCCAAGCGCAGGCTCTGAGTCCAGATTCTGCCTCCACACTACCTACCTGTGCAAACCTGTCCGATCTGGAAGTGGAGAGAACAATGCTGCCCACCTTCAAGGCTGCTGTGATGACTGGATGTGCATATATTTTAGGAAAGCAAGCACTGCAGGGAGATTTGGAGTGGAGTATGTTGGGGTGTTTTTCCTCTCCATTATGGGGCTGTGTGGGAGTGGAAGATGGAAACGGAACCCACTTCATCTAAGCCCCATGTGGAGAAATGACTGGCAGAGGGCAAAGTGTCACAATGGACATGACCAACAGGGCCTAGCTCCCTTACTTGATGAAGTTCTGGAAGCAATGGAGACCAAGGTCAAATGGGCTGTGTCATGATCCTTTGTTATCAGTCTGTTTATCTCAGTTCCATAGTCAGGCATGGGACATCAGAAGGCAGGATCCATCACCAGAGGAAGGAGTTGGCATGGACCTGGAAGGGTGACAGAGCCCCTTGCAGGTGAGCTTCAGGCAAGGTTCTAGTCCTCATGGAGATGGAGAGCTACACAGAGATGCCCCACTTACCAAGACAGCATGACACAGCAGGAGGCAGGGGCGACGAAATGGATGGGGACCAAAGTCCAGGTGCCACCAACACACCAGGTACAGCATCTTTGTACTTGTCAGAATAACACAAGAGCTCGGTCCCATCACCAACTGGGCTGAGGCTGACCCCTGCCCTTTCTTCCTTCAGGTCAAATGTCATCTTCTCGGTGAGGGATTTTCTGGGCACCTTATCTACAATTGCACACCCACACCCACTCTCTCTTCCTTGCTGCATTTTCCCTTTAGCTGTTATTACTATCAAAAATATCATAAATTTTAATTCTTTATATTGTCCATTGTGTGGGTCTACATGTTCGGATCTAAACAGGAGATCTCATTGTCTGGTTCCCAGTGATGGGCACACTGTAAGCCCTGGATAAATCTTTCTTGAATGAATGGTGGTGAGTGGATGTCTTGATCAGGTTAGTTCACACACGGGTCTTACAGCTTCTGTAGGAGGAGACATCCATGGATCCGATGGGGCTGCAAAGTAATAGAAGTCTCCTCCGCCTTTCTTCATTTCCGTTGAAGACGATTTTCTCCAAGTGAGCTTTAGCTGGAGTATTAATTACCCGTGAAACCTGTAGTGTTTTGTAACAGGGGCAGAGTTACTTTCTGTAAAGCTGACCTCAGAGTTATCCCTTTTCTCCTCTTTTTTTAGGCAACTGTAGGTAGAATGTAAAGATATTTTTTTAAATGCCAATTAAAAAAAGAGATAATCCAAATCCTCTCCCCTATTCTACCTCACATAGAGGACACGTAGCCAGGGCCATGTTTGGGAATTCTCATCCAGAGAATTTATGTATTTAGTCCTTTGTTTACTCATTCATTCAATCTGCAAACACTTGTCTAGCACCCGCCGAGTTCTAGGTGTGATGTGTGATAAAGAAACCATCCTCTTGGACCAAATGCTTTGAAGGTCAAGGAGGACAATTCATGGCGGAATGAGTATGGGATGCCGACAACGGGGAATGGCTGCGGTCTCCCAAAGAGCATCATATAGGTCTACTGAGAGAGGAAGCAAGAAGTAAAGGGTGATGGGTGTCTGTCTGCACAGAAAGAACAGAGATAGTAAGTGGATGCTATCTTTTTGAGAAATCAAGGGTAGTATTGCGAGGGAAGGGCCGGGTTAGAAGCTTGGGGGTTGAAGTGAGTATCGACATACTTTAAGCGGATGGAGCGTAGCCAGTGGAGAGAAGAGTTGGCCCCCAGGGTGGCGAGCCTCCACGCTCACTGTCATAGCAGCAGGCCGTCTAGTGGCTCTGGATGGTTGCTAAGGGCCTCCCCGGTGAAGGTGACCTGAGAGTCCAGCCAAAGGCGGGTCCCAAGGCCTGCAAAGGTCCCCCAAGGTCTTCATGGCTATACTTACTTCAGCAGGACCCTTGAAGAGGAATTTTTTTCATACGTTTGTTGGCCATTTGGATGGCCATTCATAATTCTTGTGAATTATCTTTTCAAATTCTCTTGTTCATTTGCAAATCCACTGGGTTGTTTCTTTTTTGTGTCATTTTTCTAAGAGTCCATGTATATTATAGCTATTAACCCAGTACCTATTACCTGTGCTGCAAAGTTTTCATTAAATCCTTCATTTATCTATTGACATTGTCTGTAAAGTCTTAGCCATATAAAATTTCTCAGTTTTTGTGTAGCTGAGCATAACTCTCTTTTCTCTCTTCTTTACGGCATCTGAGTTTGCGGTCTCGGTTGGGGATGTTCCCCTGCCACCGGATTCTAGATGGAATTTCCTAGATTTCTCCTGAGAGAGCACCCTCCCTCCTCTCCGGCCGGTAGAGCCGTGTCTTTTGTGAAGCTTTAATTAAATTTGAAATGGGAGAAATATGAACAGATATGAACTTGTTGCTTCAATATTCTATTATAATCCTGTACCAAGATCCTATTGGGAATTGCTAGAAAACGAGTGTTTTGACAGAACTTTGGGCAAGAAGAATTGGTCGGACATGATTCCATCAGCGGATGGCTGTTTCTTAACCTTCCGGCACCAATCCCCTCTTCTCTGGACAACAGCATCCCCAGTTTCTTTGGGATCTGTGCCTCCTGGCCATCCAGGGCGGTCCAGACGAGACCAAGCGGGGTGCCCCTCCCAGTGCTGGCTGGGAGCCCAGCCCAGCCTGGAGGAATTGCTCTTGAGCTGAAAGAAGGCACAAGAGGGAAGGAAAAAGGGCCAAGTGGCCAGGCCCGTTCTTTTTGGGCTCATGGGCCTTTCCTTTTTGCCTCCATTAGGGCATGTTTCTCAGAAGCAGCTTGGCAATCACTGGCTAGAGCATGCTAGACTATTTCCTGTTTTGGACATTTCCACGGCTCTGTCGGTCACCAACGCACTTGGAGATGCTCTGATCTTTGACACAGTTGGGGTTTGCATGCCAGGTCTGGGTCCAGGATGAATGCTTGACGGGCTTCGGCACTGCAGAGGAGCTCACTTGGCCTGAACTTTGGCGAACAGGGGACCCGGGCCCAGAACAGACCTGGACCAGGTCGTTTGGTTCCTGATGTGCAGTCAGAATCCTGGGGGCCCTTAGAGTGAGCAGGGGACGGACAGGGACTGAAGAGCTTTCTCAGAGCTGCCCCTCTGTGAGCTTGGGCAAGGGACGTTTGCCTAACTGTATGGGTGGAATGAGGACATTGGCTGGGGGGTGACAGTCCTGCTTTGCAGCTTCAATTCAAGCGTCTGAGCCCCACAGCACCGGAAGAAACTTTCCCAGAATGCAATGAAGTGTGTGCTCAGGGGGCTGGGGGAGCCCACAGTCTCTGCATTTTGATGCTGGTTTTTCACATTCAAAGCTGTTTACAAAGGCCAAACTGTTTGACTTAGTTTTCCCAAATTCACTACAGCTGTTCTAGTCTAAGTGACAGGAAGAAGAGATCAGCCGAGGCCTGAATTCCCGAAAACTGGGATTGTGGTGATTTTTTATAGGGTGAGTTAAGGCAATTCGCCCTCTCCACCCACCCCACTAGAGTCTAGAGGAAATACGCCATTGCAAGCGGTGTTTCCTCCTGTCTCCCCTCTGCTCTGAGTCTTGGCAGAATTCTTCTAGAACATTCACTCGTTCACACATTTATCCATTAAGAAAAATATCGATTTCATTCCTGTTATGTAGATTTCATGTTGAGTAAAACTAGATGTGGTCCCTGCCTGTCTTCAAAGAGCTGAAATCTAAGAGGCAAAACAGATAATTTTTAAAAATTATATAAATATCTGTAAAGTTTCAGTGTGAATGAGCACCAGGGCGGTGCAGTGCTTGGCGCTATAAAGGCGAGTAATGGGAGGACATGAGCTAGTCTCGGGGAACGGGAGGGCTGGAAGCCTTCCTGGAGGAGGAGATGATTGCTCTGAGAGTTCCCAGCAGAGGGATGGCATGAACAAGGGCCCTGTGGCAGGAAGGAGCTTAGAAAAGAAACTGGAAGAAGGTCTTCATGACCGGGAGTCACAAGGTGAGGGGGAAATAGCACAAAATGGAGCTGGTGAGGTGGGCAGGGCCACACCACACTGGGCCTCAGCACTGGTGCAGGAGTCTTGGCTCACCTGTCCAGCTGCCCACCTGTCCACGTGTCCCAGATGCGCTGCAGAGCCAGGTGTGGAATCGGTCTCAGGACTGGTGTTTCCCACATCTCCCCTCCCCACCCCAGCTCTATCCACGAGGCCTGGCTCTCATGGCGCTGGTGTTTCCACCCTGACCTTCTCCCCTCTCCTGACACCCACCCTGGGCACCTATGGACAGCGCATCACAATGGCCCCTCAGGCCCTCAGACTGCATGCCAGCAGCCTCTCCATCTCTCTGCTTCCCTCTCCCCTTGTTTCCACTCACTCATACTTTGTTTGCCACATTCTGTCCAGATTCTCCATCACGTCCCGGAATGCAATGAGTAAGAGACGGCCCTGGATGTGAGCCCCATCGCCATGGTGACTGGGACCATCGATTTCTAGTGTCATCTTCCCCTCATGCTGAAGCTTCACGAGGACAGGGCCCTGGCCTGGCTCCTTCCCTCTGTAGCCCTAGAGCCCAGAACAGAGCTTCGCTCATGGAGCAGACACCAAAAATACGGGTGGAAAATAAGAGCAACCCCTGCAGCTGTCCCCCTCCCACCCCAAAACCAGCAAAGCCGGTGACAGAGGAGCCTGCTTTTCATGCAGACACAGACAGACAGACTGACGGAGCAGCTGGCAGACCGGGAGACGGTGAGAAACAGGTTCCGAAAGCTTTCTGGCTGCCGGTACTTAACACCCAGAGCTATTCTCAATGCTAGTCACAGACATCTTGAACCGCATTAGAATAAACAGAATTCTGAATTATCTCCTCAGCAGTACATGAAATAACTGTCTGTCACCCAAAAGGAGAAGCAGAGGATGATGAATTTCTAAGGTAAAAATCCTAGAAGGGGGAAAAAAAACCCACAGGCTGTTCTGGAAACTTCTCACACACCAAGTGGTTCTCTCTCTCTCTGTAGCCCCAACTCTGGTGAGTTGGGGCAAGTGGACAGCCATCAGGTAGACCAAGTCAGAGGGGTGAGCTGGGTTCTTGGGGATGCACGTTTGTTTGCTCCTGCTAATGGGGCCTCAGACCAGGATACACGGGCGTTGGCACTAATGCAGAGCCCTGTAAAGGAAGCACGAAGGGAAAGCCCGCGCCCAGCACTGAGGGTTTGCCCAGGAGGGTCCGCCTGGACTGGCTGAGGAGGCCCCATGAGATGCGCAGCGGCCAGCCGGGCTCAGGCCTGCTCTCGCGGCTCTGCAGCTCCTGACCCCCCCACATCAGGACCTTTGTAAATGCAATTTTTGTGGAAAGCTTGGGAGGCACCTCAAATGCCTTCTCCTTCTATTCCTTAAATCTCCTGTCAGAACCAGGCGCCTGCTGAATGGTATGTCTGTGTGTGCCCTCAGAGGCCTTGGTCACAATGAGCCCCATCCTCTGCCTATATCTCCCCTTAGCTCACCCCCATCCCCATGCTGTAGCCACACTGGTCACCCTCCAGGTCCTTCAGCGGACCAAGGTCTGCCTTCAGCCCCCAACACATACCACAGGGCCTTTGCATATGCTGCCCCCGCTTCTGGAAGGATCTGCTCTATTCACCTAGCTGCTCCTTCTCTTCTTTAGGTCTCAGTTTACATGTCATCTCCCCCACCTCCCACCCCTAAAGTGGCCTTCTCTTTGATTCTCTTGCTCTCTCCTGTGTGATGTCCTTTGTAGCACTGACCACAGCTGCTGACGTTTTATGTGCCTGTTTTTGTCACTCTTTTACCAGAATTAATCTCCATGCTAAAAGAGGCTTGCAGGCCCCTCACCACTGCAAAGCACAGTGATGGGTCCGTGGTAGGGACCCAGTAAGAAATTTGTGGAGTGAAAGAAGAAGGCATGGGGCTGAGCACTTGGGGTCGCGCCCGCGTCTTGGATCTCATCCATAGAAAGCAGTGTGATCCTCAGACACGACCTTTGTATCTCTCTCTATGAAGTCTGCTCAACCAACAAGCCAGGTGGTGACATGGCAGGCAGGGACATGCAGGCTTCATTCCTGATGGATTCAGATTGCAGTGACCAAATCAATGTGCGGCAATAGGCTTTGTCAGGACCAGTAAAGAATGATGGATTCCCACCCGAACGAGAGGTGGAGGGGGCGCTCTGGCTCTCTGGACAGACGGGCAGCTCACTCCCTTCCATGGCAGCCCCCACTCCACTCCCCTGGGACAAGTGTCTTATCAGTCCGAGCTCGTCCACACCTATATCTCTGCATCCTCTGTCAGCGGGCTGTCCATTTTGATAACCTGTTCCTTTCCCTAGATGTTGGATTTCTAATGGAGGTTTGCCTGGATATGACTGCCAATAGGGCTGGCCATTTGGCTTGTACTCGACATCATTGACGTGAGCACTGAGATACAAGGGGGCAGTGATCCGTCCCCCCGAGTGTGTTCCTGCACTCATGGAGAAAGCTATCAGGTGAGTGATGTCAGCAGACCCTCCAGGTGTTCCAGGCACCGTGGCTTTGTGGTTGATCCATGGCACTGTGTGCAAATGTCTACGTCTGGGACCCGGGGTGTTGGCTCTGTGGGGGACTGGAACTGGCCACCCCAAGATGTGTCTCTTCAGCATCAGGATTATTTGGGGCTGGTTACTTTTAAAAACTGCAGACAGGAAAGAAACTCCGAAAAGTAGAATTTACCTACCCTTTGTTAAAAGACATTTACATCTATGAAGGAAATCTCCATCTGTAAATGTGTCTCCCTCTCTGTACAGGAAGAAGGGGGTATGACCTTATCTCTAGAAACTCTTATCAATGCAGAAGGCAAGGACTTAAATCTGCATAATAACCTTACTCTTGTTTATTGTACTTGTCTGGTAATCTCCCAAGATCGACTCCCCCACCCCCAACATCCTCCTTTGTCTTTAGCTGAAGATGATATTTAAGGTGGTGGCTTTGGCCATTTTGGTGAGTTGCTCAGTTTGCCTGAGCCTCTCCCATGTATACATGTTACAAAGCTTTGTTTAATTTTCTCCTCTTATTCTGTCTCATGTGAATTTAATTCATGCGCTGGCCAGAAGAACCCAGAGCAGGTAGAGGAAATGTCTTCCTCCCCTACAACTCACTGCCTTCGTTCAAGGTACTGAGCTCCTGCCACATGCTGGGGACTGCGTGTGGAGGAGGATGCTCAAACCACGCAGAAGAGCGACACATGGCTCCTGCCTTCTTGGAGTTCAAGGTCTGCGGGACAGAAGGCCGTCAAGACCAGGGGCTCTCATACCACATGCTGCAGGATTGTGCCCAGGGCACTCCGCCCCCTGGGAGGGCAGAGGGGCAGTGACTCCTGTCAGGCTCTGTGGAGAGTTCCCTCCTCATGTTTCCTTTTGTGACAGCCACTAACCATCCACAGTCACACCTACCTATAAAGAAGGACCGATCTCTCCAGTCTGTGGGTGGCCCTGTGGGGTGACATTGCCAGTTGCATCTGTCGCGGGGCTGTCTAGATGATGTTTGTCAGGCACCTTGTGATGCCCAGAGATCAGCCACTACAGGGTTCATGCTCCCACTTTCAAGCTGCTGGGAAAAAAGAATGTCACGTGAGTCCCTCTGACCTGTCCTCTCAGAATCGTCAGCTCTTCCAGTGAGAACACTCATTCCTCGTGTTCTCTGAACAGCACAGCCAAGGACTCGAGTCACCATTTCCAAACAGGAACAAGAAGAATGCAAATTCCTTAGCTTAAAAATATATACAAAGCAGCCGATTCCGTGTGAGCAGGGACCCGTGGTTTTCATTGGTTGTCCGTGCTTGGAGAAGGATCGCTGTGTCCAAGTTGAAAAAGAATTCCTGCGGCTTTGATATTTGGAGCAAGTGTCCAAAGCCTGGTGTGTCTGCCTGGGTTTCCTCTGCACACCGCAGCTGGAGTCCACATTAAAGGCCCTCTCCTGTTTGCTATGAAAGATGTTTAATTGAAAGGCGCTTCCTCCCGCTTTGGGGAGCCTCATTTCTCAGCACCAGGTTTACACGTGAATTCTGGGATGACTGGTCAACAAGGGAGATGGCGTGGAATTAGCGCAGATGGAAGAAGAGTTTGGGAACTTGCTGGAAGAGGCCACGAGAGTCTCTGTATCACCTTCAATCAGGGCTAAGGCTTCGTGACACATTCACACGGACATGTGATCGGGGTGGCATTCACTAGTGGTGACACATGCCAGCTCCTTGCCCAGCACTTCAGCTCATCTCCCTACCACCTAGCCCCTCACTGCCAACAGTCTGATTCCGTGGCCTTCTTCCTCTTCCAGGAACATGGTAACTCTCTCCCTCCAGTTAGCCTCAGGACATTTGTACGTACTGCTCCCACTGCCTGGAAGGCTCTTCCTTGGCTCTTTGCCCGTTTGGTCCCCTCCTATTCTTGCCTCTCCGTAAACGTCATCTCCTCAGAGTGCTCCCCTGACCATCAGATTTGAAGTAGCCCTCCTCACCCTGCCTGAAAGTCCCACCAATTCCCTTCACAGTACGACCAGAGCCATTGCTATCCTGTGCATTTGTGTGTTTACGTGTTGACTAGCCATTCCCTCCTCTGGGATGTTCACTCCCTGAGGGCGAGGCCACTTGTCTTATTCACCACTGTGCCCTGTGGCGCCTGCTGAACGAATGCATGGACGAGTGAACCCTTCCAGATCCAGGGTTCGAGGGGCTCTAAATTAAAATTCAAAAAGAATACAAATTACGCATACACAATGAGTTAGGAAAGGGGTTCATTTAAATTCTAAAAAGTTGATATATCTCAAAATCACAAAATCTATAAAATTAATGAATATGTTTATTCATTAGTTACCTGACTATTTAATACTTTTCTCCCTCCATTTTTCTGCTGCGTACTTCTTGCCTCTTCATGTGACAAAGACTTTGTGATATTGTTTTCAACAGAGAGATTAGAAGGATAATTCTATGTGTCTTCCAATGTGATTGGGTAAAGGGGTTGTTTTTATTATGGTTAGTGGACTGCATACAACATACAGATTGACACAGACATACTCACTGTCACACTGTATAAGTTTTTGCCCTGTAGACATAAGAATTCTGATGAGTTCTATTTCATTCCATCAAAAAAATAGTGTGTTGACACTTGTATATATGCATTCAATTATTCCTTATAGGGAGAATGTTCGTTTTGACCAGGTTCTGATGAGAACTGAGTCCTCTCCTTGTTGATAGCAAGAATTTTCCACCCTCTAGCTTCCGGCTCCATATGTTTCAAGCCTAATGTCTTCTCTCATACTTCTGGTGCTGGGTGCCAATGGGCGAGATCATATCATGACCCAACTTCTGGCCCTAGACGCGGTGACAGGACATGGGGAGAGCTGGCACAGTGGGTGGCAGGACCGTTCCTGGAAGCGTTGCTACTCTAGGACCCCTAGCCCAATGGAACTATGTGGAAGTGACTTCACACAAAGCTGCCCCTAAACCCTAAATAAGTGTGTCCCAGAAATGCCACAACCCTTTTATACCACCCGGTGTGAGGGGAATGTGAAGGAGGACGTCAGAGCAGAATGAGACAGTGGTCCGACCTGACTGAAGTTGAAATATCTTCCCCTTGCAAGTTTCCTAAAGTCTGTGACCACCTAAGCAGGTTACCGGGACCCCTCCTGGGTTTCCGAAGGAGCCCTCACGCAAGTGAGGGGCTCTGCGGTGAATCTGCCTGTGGTCCCGTTTGTCTGCTGTCCAATGAAATGAGATACCGTTCCTTCTGCCCCAGGCCCCTGACCCCAGGGAGCTCCTGCCCCGAGACAAACCGCATCTGAATCAGGCCCCGTTCTCTCCCCACGGTACCACCTGGGTTCCGATGGGCATCTCCAGGTAACACGTGGTGTGCGAGGGATTTCTTCTCATCACACGTGGACACAGCTGGGCTTTTAACCCCAAAAGGACGTCACCTTACTTGTTGGTGTTGCTGCCGACTTTGTGATACCTTTGGCAAGGTGGCCACAGATAGTCATCCTGGAGCCTGCATTTGGGGGGTTTCATGTAATTATGAATAGAATTCAAATCTCACAGCCCCAGTGAAGGCAAATGTGGGTGGTGAGCTGAATCCCTCACCAGGAGACAGGCAGGGGGCATCTGATGTGGCTCAAGATGCATTGCCAGGCCAGAGGGAGGAGTCATCTGAGGGAGATGCTGGCAGGGAGATTCTTTATGTCCCGCTCAGCAGGCGTCAGAGGAAGAGCTGAGTGCAGAGGATGAAGGACTGACCGAAGGCATGTGTGGCCACCACGATGCCCTTGTAATCATGGCAAGCAGAATAATGCTAAATAGTAAGGGAATCAAGGCAAGTGCACTGCCAAGCCCGGTCAGGAAGAAAATCTCCACGTGTTTCGTGATTTCAGGAGCTGCTGAAGGAAATCACCGAGGAGTATCAATTTATAAAAAAGAATCTAATGGTGACTTTGTTTTTCATTCCAATCCCCAGCTCACATCTTGGTTGACAGTTCCTCTGGGGTGGGGGGTGATTAATTCTCTGCTGGGCTTTCAACAGTCAGGAAAGGCCCTGGTGCTGAGCAGCGCTTCTCAAACTTCAGTGCTCATCCCAGTTACTCAGAGAGCTTGTGGAAACGCAGACTGCAGGGCCCACGCCCAGACATTCTGACTCAGCGGGTCTGCGGTGTGGCCAGGGACTCTGCATTTCCTATGAGCTCCAAGGTGACGCTGAAGCTGCCCATTTGCACACCACAGTCTTGAGTTTTGATAACTCAGAAGGCTGTGGGTGGGCAGCTCTCAAGTCTCTGCCCTGATTTCCCAAGCCAAGCAGAGAACTGTGTGGGCTCTATGTTTTTCAGATGCTCAGGAAGCCAAATGCAACGCAACTGTGCGTAGGTTTGGAGGATGGTTTCGTTGACCAAGTGTGAGACACGGCCCCAAGCAATGCCCCAGGTTGACCTCAAAATCCACAATGGCTTGGTGGGGTGAGGGGGGCGCGTGGATCATTTGAAACGGACTGCTCAAAGGAACAGCATCTTGCAGAGGTTCCCGCCCCACCACACTGGATGGAATTCACAACCAAACCAGCCGAGCATCTTGCTTCCTGGACCCTGCCCCTCCAACCGTGTCAAGCTTTGAGGAGCAATTAGAGAATCAGTTGACATCTTCCCTCAGAGTTCTCGGGTCACAAAAGCTAATTAACCTTCCTCTTGCCTTCCAAACAAAGTAACAACCGCCAGAGCCAAATCTCCTGGAACAAAACGGGGAAGAAGAGAGAAAGAAAGAAGAGCCATCTGTGTTTAAAAACAAAAAATTTTGGCAGAGAATTTTTTAAATAAAATAAACTCCGAGGAAGGGAAGTGGTGGGAGACGCCCTCCCTGGAGCAGGTCCAGCGGCACCCGGACGGGCTCAGCGGTGGCTGTGCCTGTCCTGAGATCCACAGCTGAAACTTGCAGGCCTGTTTGATCTCTGGGAGATTCTGGAGGGGAACTTGATGTGGGAAGTCCCGAGACGACCCTGAACTTGGAGGTGGGGCCCATTGGCACCACAGGGATGGGCTCATCTGTGCCGTGTGGACTTGACTGGCAATTCAAGGGGGCCTGGACGTCCTGGACGGACTGACAGGATTCACAGACCCCCTGGGAACTCACTCTGACTGTCAATGCACACCACGAGGCTGGCTGCGTTCACAGTTCATGGCATCCCCCTTTGCATTCCTCTCTGAGAAGCCGTGTAGTCAAGTAGTAAGGACGTGGGCTCGTGTATGGGGTGCATCTGAGCTCGCATGCTCTCTCGTTCAGGCACTTGCTGGCTGTGCGAACTAGCAACTGTGTTTCCCAAACTCTACCATGTCCACACATCACTGGTCCCACTGTGCGATTGTCCTGGGGCTGCCTAACAAATGACCACTGACTGGGCAGTTTACAACAACAGAAATCTATTGTCTCACAGTTCTGGAGGTTGGAAGTTGAAAATCAGGGTGTCCACAGGCCACGTTCCCTCTGACGGCTCTCGGAAAGAATCTTTCTTTGCCCCTTCCTAGCTCTCCTGGCCGCAAGCCATCCTTGGGGCTCCTTGGCTTGGAGCTGCACCGCTCCTCTCTCTGCCTCCATCTTCACGTGGCTTCCCCATCTCTCTTCATCATCTTTCCTGTGCACCTCGGTGTCCAAATCTCCCTCTTCTTGCAAGGACATCGGTCTTCAGATTAGGGCCCCCCTTAATTCCATATGACCTCATCTTAACTTGGTTACATTGGCAAAGACTCTATTTCCAAATAAAGTCACATTCTGAGGTCCTGGGTGGATGAGATGTCTTAGAGGGCGTAGTCAACCCAGCAGACGCCCCTCCAGGGCTTTGGCCTGGCCTGGAGAGTCGATTGCGTGCCTCTCTTCCAGATTCTGCTGTGATGGTGGCTTTTAGGTATCAACTTGACTGGGCCACAGGGTGCCCACGTAGCTGGTATGACCTTATTTCTTGGTGTGTCTGTGAGGATGTTTCCAAAAGAGATTCGCGTTTGAATCCATAGACTGAGTAAAGCAGATGGCCCACGGTGGCGTAGACGGGCGCCACGCAATCCTTTGAGGACCTGCATAGAACAAAGGGTGGGGGGGTGCATGTCTCTCTCTGCCTGACTGCGTGAGCTGGGATGCTGGTCTTCGGCCCTTGGATCACAATTTGTACCTTTGGATCTCCTAGTTCTAGGTTTTTGGACTCAGATTGGAATTATACCACTGGCTTTCCTCGATCTCCAGCTTGCAGACAGCAGACCATGGGACTTGTTAGCCTCCATAATTGCTATTTAAGAGGTTTATTAAATAGGATAAATATAAAGGTATAATAGGATTATATATATATGTAATCTCCTACTATTGGTCTGCTCCTCTGGAGAACCCTGACTGAGACGTCTATGTTCAGTGACATGTTGGTAGCTTGAAAATGGCCATGGTGGTAGCATTTACTGCAGGGAAATCTGCAATTGCTACAAGTTTGGGCTTTTTTTACCCACTGGGGAGCCAACTGTGAAACGTTTACCAGCACACCACTGGACAGCTGAGGATTCTGCAGGTATTATTTGTTTAATATTTTCTTCTAAAAGATTCACCTTCTTTAAAAAATGAAAATAAAAAGTTTTTTTTGCAAAGTTTATTTTGCAAAGATACTTAGACCGGAGGTCAGGAAACTACAGCCCACAGAACAAAGCCAGCCCATCATTTGTTCCAATAAATGAAGCTTTGTGGGAACGCAGCCAGGCTCACCTGTTTACAGATGGTCTAAGGCAGTTTTCAAACTACAGGGACAGAGTTGAGTACTTGAGGCAGGCATCGTATGGCCCACAAAGCCTAAATATTTTCTCCAGGCCCTTTACAGGAAGTTTGCCAACTCCTGCTTTAGGCTAATGCTTCTCAAACACTAATGGGCAGACTAATTACCTGTATCCTTATGTCACAACCGAATGGAAAATCTGCAGCACTTGCCCTAAATAGAAGGTGCCACAAACAGGTGAACGAGGCAGACTAAACAGCAGGGCAGAATTCCAGCCAGAATCTGTGGCTGGGGCCAAAGCCTCTGAGTCTGACATCCCTTTTTGTTCTGAAGACGTCAGCAAGTGTCCCAGAAGTGCTAAAGATGTGGTGGCAGCAAAATGAGACTTTGTCCTGTAGGTAAGAAGAGAAATTGGGGCCAGCCTGATGGCATAGTGGGTAAGTTTGCATGCTCCGCTCTGCGGCCCAGGGTTCGCAGGGTCAGATCCTGGGCACAGATCTACACACTGCTTGTCAAGCCATGCTGTAGTGGTGTCTGACATACAAAACAGAGGAAGATTGGCACAGATGTTAGCTCAGGTACAGTCTTCCTCAAG